ATTACTGTTAATCAATACTATGTGCACTCATTGAGTCCATTACTCCCAAACCCCCCCGTCCCGCCACACATAACACAGTACTCTCTGCTAATTGCCAAACAGCGACAGGAACGGTTTCAGAGTATAATCTCTTAAAAGTACCCAAAAACACTCGTGACTGTTTTGTAACTGTTCAACATAAATTGAACATTATAAGCTTCAAATGGATTTGCTGTCGGGCCACTGCAGTGGATTGCTTTTCATTGTGTTGGCTAGAGTCTTAAAAAGTAGGACAGGAGCCAGAGGCTTCAGTTATCAAGCTCCTCTTTTGTAGAACCAGCTTCCACTTTCAGGCCTGGGGGGGGACGGACACAGTCAGCTCACTTAAGACTACGCTCTAAGACTTTCCTCTTTGATAACGCTTACAGTTGGGGGCGGCTCAGGTTGGCCTGGACCAGCCGTTAGATAAGCTGCTATGGGGCGAGACTGCCGGAGGACACACCAAGCTCCTCTCTCACCTCTCTCTCTCTCTTTATAATAATTCACGTCTCAATGCACATCACTAATTCAGCTTCTCTCCAGGAGTTTTTGTGCTTTTCCTCCCCACATGTTTGTGTGGATGGTGGTTATGTCTGATGGTGGTTGTGGTTGGCTTACTACTCGCAATATTTTAATCATTTCTGTCATAGGAAATGAGTGTATTGTACATCTTTTACGTTGTTCGTTCAGTACACATGACATCCTTTGTCCTCTGTCCTTCTCTGGAGAGGGGACCCTCCTCTGATGTTCTCACTAAGGTTTCTTCCTGTTTTTCCTGAGCCGAAGTGAGCGTTTTTGGGACAGAGGACGTGTACAGACTGTAAAGCCCTACAAGGCAAATTTGTGCGATTTTGGGCTATGCAAAATAAAATGAATTTAATTTAATTGGTGTTAGGGTCCCCACACTGGTGTTAGTGACATTTGGAGTTTGGGAGATGGTGTCATTTTGACTCAGCAGAAGCGGTTTCGCACTTACTGACACATTCATTTTGCAGCACACCAGCAACATTATGTTAATGGGGGAGCAGTAGTTCCCCCAGAAATGTTCCATCACTGTTCTTTTTCATTCGAACACATCCTGCTTGGCCACTGCCCTGTACTACTTTGCACTATTTTCAGAAGCGCTATATTCTTACTTCCTAATGGATCTCAACAAGGTGTGAAAGATTCACATCCTAAAGCACCAGGCTGCCAAATGGGGAAAAAGAAGATCAGACAGTTCACAAGAGCTGAATGGGCTTAATGGAGACACTTGTTGGCTTGTTTTAGTTATATATATAGCTACCGTACCGTATGAAATGTAGGGGAGGGGGGTGAATGAATGAAAGCATATTTCTTTATTTATCTATATATTTAGCCTCTCTCTCTCTCTCTTACTAAATGGGATAACACTTTGAGAAAGCATCTGAAGATGAGTCAGGTCAGAGAGAGATCGCTGTGCACTGTGTGTCTTCCTCTGTTGCTTCTTCTTCTGCAGACGCACACTGCGTCTCTAAGTGTTCAGCAGTGGAAAGCTGAGCGTAATTGACGTCAGTAAGATGTATAAATCAATTTCTGTCCAGCTAGCTGCAAGGCTAGGTGAAACATTAATGAAATACTGCGAAAAAGATGTGGAGGCTAATATGGCAAAAAAAATCAAATGCGGTCCAATGCCAGTGGGTAGATATTTGCAGTGCAGGTGTGAAACTGTATGGCAGCAGTGAGCTGACCTACTAGTGTGGCTGACATTCTCATGAAGCATCTATGTATGTGTGGTTCCGGTGTGGATTTGTTCCTGTCAGTGGAACAGGGTGACGCCGATGGAAGCCTGCAGATCCACGGTGTACCGAAGGAATGCAGAATCAGGATCCCAAATGTTTCTTGTGTACAGTTGGGACGAGCAGAACAATGGCCAAAATGTACGCTAATTAAAACAACAAAAACAACATTATGTTGTCATCTGCTGACAACTCTTTGACATTAGCTCTGTTTTGGGCCTGTAAACACACTCTGATGCTGTCGGGTGTTCAGTAGTTGACCTACAGCTTGGTTACTTCAACCACCACATAAGGTGTTTTAAAACATACCAATAACTCCTCCTGTGAGGCATCCACAAGTGTAGAAACTGATGGCAATATTGTGACGCACATGTGTGTAGTATGTAACACATCTGTAACTGTCAACCGTTACTCTTCAAATGCTTAAGAATGTTCCTGTATCTGCACACAACTACACTATAGTGTGTTATTGACCAGTTATAAAATGCTTACACAGTGTGCATACATGCGTACAGTTTGACCCACACCTCTCATCCATTTAAATACATGGCCAACATGAAGGGTAGTTGTACCCCAGTTCCTCCCTTTGTGTGAAGCCTTTTCCACAACCACGTTCTCAGTCGACCCACAACAAGTTTGCACCCTCTCCATGGAATCACAGAACCGCTTCCTGTTGACTCCGTTCCGCTGCTAAAACTGGACCACAATTCAACACACCCACCGCAATCTCACGCACTCTGATATTCTAAACCATTGGCTGTGATATCAAAATAAATTGGCAAATTAAAAAAGATTTGATTCAAAAAACACCTCTTCACTTTCAGTGACGTGTTGTAGTTATTTGGGAAACGTACGCATGTTCAACAGTCTTTTTTTCTGTTTAGCTTTTGATCAAAGATTCTGTAAGATAACCAAAAAATGTTGTTGAGTTTATCCCTTTATTTATACCTGTAATTACAACGGCAACAACTTATTTGGCAAATGATAGTTACATTATTTGAAACAGATGTACGCAGCTGATCAACCTGAAAGTATCAGATCATTTCTCGTGAGTAAATGGATGCAAAAAGCAACAAATTTTTACAACTTACCATGAAGAACCCTTGTTCTTACATTCGCTCATTGATCAGTTAAAAATGTTGTTGTTTGCCTGCCAGCCATTCTGATGTTGAGAGAATGTTCACCAATAATATCATGAAATAAGAGAAAGTTTGATTTACTATTTGGCCAGTTGGATTCTCAATACTGTGATTTCTAATTGTCAGACTCTTCTGTACATAACATCTATTGACCGGCCGTCCTGCTGGGAGAAGCATCCCTCCTCATCTGCTCTTCCCGAAGTGTCTCTAAACTGTTATAAGAGTCATTTTTTGCGTTTGTGGACAAGTTGCCGGTGTACACTTCTAAAATTGTTGTAACAACACAAGATGAAGCTCAAATTGTAAAACGGCTTAGTCTGTAAATGTGTTCCAGTTTAAGTAGGACATCCTGAGTCACGATTTATACAATCTTGTTTCTGTTTTTCTTTGCAGAATAGAGCCAACAGGTCCGAGATGCATCCATTTATTTGTCTTTGCACTAGTGCGAGCGAGGATTGTGTAAAACTGTCACAACAATGAGCTGTTGAGATGGTACGAGATAACAGTTCAGCTGAGACTGACGGTTCGCTTATTCAAATGTCAAAAATATTTTGTCGTCTTTGTTAGATACCCACATCATGTGTTGGCAGTTTGATTAAATCTGACCTTTGACAAGATGATGTTTTGACCATTGTGAACTGAAGGCTCTCTTTGTCTCTGTCAAAACTCAGCTGTGTATTAGGTTTTTTAGTGTGCAGGATTTCTATTGACCATTTGAGCTGGGGGTTTCTTTTGATGATCATGCATGTGCCATCATGGAATATTTATTTGGAAATATAACTTGAACAGGAGGGAAGGTCAGCGGTCAAGAGATTTTAAAAATCAGGAGGGTAGAATACAGCCTGAGAGTTACTCACTGCAGGGAGCAGATTGGGTTAGAGAGGCGTTTCAGTGTGTTTGTGTACAAGCTGGTCTGCACATATGCATGTTCATACATGAGAGGCTCATTCTTGCTCTCACTCACACCCGTCATAACGCTGCACACCCCCACACACACCCCACTTACATGCACGATCTGACTCTCACCTCGATGCTCTAAATTATACCCACCGATTTGCACTTTTCACCATTAAAGCTGCTTATAGCAGATGGTTCATGTGGGACAAAGCATTGTCAGCATGGCTTAGGCCCCGCTCCCACTCTTTTCAATGGCGCCTTTGTGCTCAGGTGTACCGGATCAGGACTCGGATGTGTGCGCATTAGTGTGTTCACCAGGAGGCAACCTCCAGGTCTGGAGAGAGGAAGCCAATACGGAAGTGCTTTAAACTTGGATTCCTTGCAAACATAAGTCGATATGTTTAGAATCACAGTCTCACCTGATTTATTATGTCAGCAACCATGGTACACAGGATGTCATCGTCTCAATTGCTAGATTCCAGTCTTTTTTAACGCTGCATGATATTCATTTAGTAAAGTATGGTCCTTTTAGAGCAAAATATACAATAGCTAATTTGAACATTATTGTCGTCACAGTCTGTGTTCTCTTATATTTAGCTTGTGTCCCGTCTGGTTTTAAAAAAGAAAGAATAAATTATTTAGAAACAAATGTCAAACTTGAGGCTTCTCCAGAACCCTTGTGACGTAATGGAGATATTTCATATAGTTTGAACTAAACAAGAGTCGGGTCTCTCAGACGTTTTCCTCCCCTCATCTCGTCTTTGCTATCAATGAGAGAGGATCTCTCATGTGGGGGAAAGATGATGAGAATCGTAAGTTTGACTAATTGTCCAGATTGTGCTCGTGTTCTACCGGCATCTCACTGAGATCTGAACCCAATGCCACCTTGGCATGTGGCCGACCAGATTACAAACTGAGCAAGATCCGACCTCGAGGCGTACAGACTTCCTGGCTGGATGAAATGGAAAAGCCACATAGATCGGATGCAAGTTCAATTATCCATATGCCATCAAAGTTCTATTCTCAGATCATTCAATGTTTATTGAGAACTACTTTATTTATAATTGAAATGTCTCACGAGAAATGTTCATGTATGAATGAGCATAGTGGCGTGTGAAACAGGATAGCTCAGTGCAAGTAAAGTAAAGACAATACAAGAAAACAGTATAGTGAACACAATGTGCTTTATTATAACACACTCAATGTATACATTAACATGTGTTTGTTTCAAGACAACAGGACCGCCTCAACTAAGACAGATGGTGGTTTGTTTCAACAAGAAGGTTCAAATCCTCATATCCTCAAAGACATTTTGCTCGATGGCGTGCTGGGAAGAGTTTGACTCAGCAGAACACTAAATCATCCGACAGCTGCTTCTAATCCCAGATCCCTTCTTTCTTTTTCAGTTATTGAATGTACCACAGCCAGGGATCTCCTCATACACTCAATAATCATCAAAGATTCTTGCTCATGCACACTTACATTTTCTTACACGCCTATACAAGCTAGCCTGGTGTTTTTAATTAGTATCGTGCATGCTTATAATCATGATGTGCAGCGTACGTATGGGACTCATGGCCGAAACAATATAATATAATTTTATAATAAATATAAATCCGATATAACTTACGAAATACAGACAAAGCCGTTTTAGAGCATATTTTTATTTTATTTAATGTGTATATGCACTTTGCTTCAAGGTAGAAGCCACCTATGACATTATGTGTTGTTATATCTGAAAGCTTTTCTATGAATGCGGTTAGAAAAGCTGAAGTTCAAAACACCAATTTAACCTCACAAGAAAACTCAATCATGCACATTGATTTTAAAGTCTGGTCCTTTATGCAACCCACTTCTTAATTTGCTCAGCCAAGCAATTACATGAAAACGAAAATGTCCAGATTACACAGGTCATGATTTAATTTGCAAATTTCGCTTGAGTCGCAAACTGATTTCATGAGACGAGCTGTAAGTTCTGTGGCCATTGTTGTTTTTGGAAGATGACATTTCAAAATTTTGTGAATTGTTAACATTTAAGCTGCATCTACATACCTATGTTGTTTTAAAAGCCATTACAATGGAAAATCTGCCAATATCCCACTCACAAAGTGATTCAAGCATATTTATGCATAACAATCCCACTAAACGTGGCTGTAATGCTCCACTGAGCCATTTTGAACAAATTCTCTTAAAACGTTTTGAAAGGGAATACCGTATCTGGCTGAGATGGGACACTTGTGGCAGGCTCGGCAGGCATTATGTTAATGTATGCCAAGTTACAAAACAAACAGTGTTGCACTGTTGGATAATTTAGTCTTGGACTCAATTACCACTCTGGAGGGATGAAGAACGCCAGGCAGGTCTACACAGGGAACCTTTTAACCCCTTTAATGACTTTTTTGTGAAGGTATTAATAATGCTTTATTGATATTTTTTGGTATAATGTCCCTCCATGTCACGCACATGAAAACTTTGTGGGTTCCAAGTGCTAATCGTAAGGCTGCAGTAGCGCCTCCTTTTTGTCTCAATGTTTATTTTGTGTATTTGAACATCTATATTGAAAGCTCATTTAATTTCAAAACGACTAATTTTAGCAATTTACTGCTCTGGTCGCCCTATTTATAAAATGGTTCTTGGTAACTTGGAAAATGAACTTTTCCAAGTTCAGCAGAGTTTAGACAAACATCACTACTTTGGATAAAACTGATCAGTGTTTCCTTTACCATTATAACATACGTATGGATGATATAAAGCAGGTAAATTAAGCCAATCCTCTTGCGGTGTCCAATGTTTAGAGAAAAACTAAAATAGAGAATAATTTGCAAACATGCCTAAGTTTAGTTGTTTTTGTCTCACTTGTCTTTATCATTTGCGTTGGACTATGAATATCGCTTGATGCATGCCAGCCCCTCGATATGACGCATGGAAGCTCCACAGAGCAGCGGGGGGGCTGGCAGCCGGATGGTTCCCAGGCTCTGAGCAGCATGATTTGTAAAATGTTTTGCTATTTCCAGTCAACAAATCCAGACAAAGTGCGTGTGAGCGAAACTTAACTAAGGGAGATGATGTAAAGATGGTCTAAAGCCAACATCCTCGTGACTGCTATTTGAAAGAGACACTAAATAGTAAATAGATCATGATTGATAAAATAAATAAATAAACTGAAAACTTAAAAACGTAATAAAGTTTACCATCAACATGAACTCTGAGGGCCATTCGAGAGCACGAGGGGAAAGTTTATGATGAAGAGACAGTTCCCCCGAGTCGCCATATTAAGCTTGAAGTGCCGGTAATTCATCACGTTTTGCTGTGTGTTGTTTTCTAAAATATGCAAGGGGTTATTTCTTAAAAGGCAGATACACTGTTATTATTCACCATGTTACTAAAATAGTTTAAATGTCAATTTCTTCTAATGAGTTCTTAATCACTTACTCTGCATGTCGCCCCAAATAATCAAGGGAGTTATTTAAATTTTGAATGACTGTTGGGTATTTTATTGACTGAGAAGATCCAGGGCAGAAGATCAATTGACAAACTATTCCGATTTAATAAACCCCGGGTCATCATTACATAACAGTCCGATCAGCGATCTGCTTTGTGGCCGGAGGGTAGCAGGTGACTGAATTCGCTGATTGACGCCGATGAAAACAGTCCAAAAATACAAAATGATAATGTAGGGAAAGGAAATATAACAATTTAATCAGATTATTGCAGCCTGCGCCAGGCTTTACGTTAGAAACGTACTGTTCCGACAAAAATTTTTATTTTCCACAGAAAAGCCCCCCAGGCAAGAATCAGTTTCTATTCATTGCAGCATGGGAGGATTCTTCCCTTTTTATTAAACAACATCTTGTCTGATCCCTGTCACATGTTCAAAAAGAAATCCAGCCTACAGAATTCAATTCATCATGTATCCTTTCAGACATAATTCACCTAGTATCTCCCTCATATCTCCCCTCATATGAAAAGGCGAATGTACTATTTAAACAAAACATAAAACTGCATTTTGACTCCCCCCCCCAAAAAAAAAATAAGTGTGATGTTTATATATTTATAAAATGTCAACAAATTGAAATCTAGATTAATTCAAATTATAAATACATTTAAAATCTTATCAGTTTCAGAGAGTCAGGGGTGAGATTTTAACATTGTGACAGATGCTTCCTACTTAGAGTTGGAGAATGTTGAATGCGTCCCACAGGTAAGCTGGTCATTTGTACCTTCACTCTTGCAGAAGGACCTGCCCAGTTGCCTGTGTGACTTTGTGCAGAGGGACACTTTGCAGTGAAATGCTGGTAAAAGGACTCGGATCGGAAAATGCTGTGAGCGTTTTAAACAGTTACGACTAAGGCCACAAACTGCTCATTGAGATAAATTATCAAATGTCAAGTCTCTGCATGTGGAATTTCCTGACAAACTGAAACATATTTCTAAAATATGCTGAAATGTCAATAAAATCCTTCAAGTGGCAAGTCATAATAAGCACCAAATTCAGATAAACACTGAAACATCCAGATTTCAAACACATCACTCTTCATTTCAAAAAAGTCAAGAACAATCAACCATGCACAGGCTTTTGACCAACGTAGACAAGGCGTTCTGAAAGAAGAAGTGGAAACTTACATTCGTGCACAAATCAAGGGCTTGTATTAGTATCTTTAAATTAAAGGAATATATTTACTTTTTTGGAAGATAGCTTAGCATAAAGACTGGAAATGAGGAAACCTGGCCTTGTCCGAGGTATCAAGATTCATGCAGCAGCACCTGTAAAGCTAACCAGTTAGCTTGTTAAATCTTGTTTAATCAGACTTCATTTCCTTATTGCCGTTCTAATTGTTTGCAAGAAATGAAGACATTCCTACAAAGAGTAGTAGTAGTCTAGTAGTAGAAAGGAAGCAGGATAAATTGATTGAGACTCAAGAACAGGGAGCACTGTAAGACGAACTGTGGGCACAGTTGTGATGAGCCCTGATTATCATATCACCTCATTGCTCCGTGCATGTGCTAATGCTAATCACCAGGAAATGATTTTGTTTGAACCATTTGGACTCTCCTGCTTTCATCTCGGCCCCGCTGGCCTTCCCTCTACTCGCACTGGTTGATCTTGCGATCTTCCTTGTTAATCCCCTCCCATCCTCCGCTCTCCGCACTTCACCCACGTTGAGTGCACTTTGGTTCCCCCGCTTCTGACTAATCACACGGGCGGTGTGTGAGTGTCCACGAGCAGTGAGCATGCGTATGAAGTGTCTGCCTGGGGAGGGGTCGGCAAAATCCTCACGGTTGCCCACTCTTTAGTTATTAGGTTGTGGTCTCTCGTTGACCCCACGAGAGATGCTGTAGTCCAGCAGGATGGACATCAAGGGCTAATGAGAGGGACCGACAAAAAGACACAGAGAGAGATGCAGATTCGAAAAGAGAGGTCGCTTTAGAATCGAGAAGACAGGAGACAAAGAGGACGGATGGTGAGACAGTGTGTTAGTCACCCTGTGCCCCCTCTTTCACAATCACAATCAGCTGGGAAAAGTGGCGTAATGAATTTAAACTGCGGTGGAATACATTAGGGCAGCCCATCCATCAGACACACACACACACACATAATGATGACTAGGAAACAGAAGTGGTGGTAAAGTGTTGTGTCTTTTCAGGCCAGTCAGCATGTTTTTCGGGCGTTGCAGTTGGACGCTGAAAAGCCTGGTCTGCTCGATCACAATCAGAAGCCGTTTATTGCCACGTGTGTTACACATAGAGGAATTTATTTTGGTGTTTGGTGCAATATGAGAATAAAGTAAGATAAAGTAAAATAAGGTCAAATTAAAAATGAACAATATAAACAAATAAGATAAGGACGTTAAAACACATATGTATGTACACCTGTTTCCATGGTGAGAAACCACTGTGCAAATGTCCTGGGGATGTAATGTCTGGGTCCGTGGGGGACTCGGACTCGGTTTATGAGACCAACTGACGACGGGAAGAAGCTGTTTCTGTGCAGGAGGTCTTGGTCCTGATGGGCCGCAGCCTCCTGCAAAGACTCAATGATGGCCGTGTACCATCCTTGTCTTAAGCAGGTTGAACCTCTTCAGCTGCCTCAGGAAGAACATCGGCTGCTGAGCCTTCTTGGTGATGGAGCTGATGTTCAGCTCCCGCTGGAGGTCCTGGGTGATGATGGAGCCCAGGAAACGGAAGCACCCCACAGCGGTGACGGGGGAAGGTGCATTCTTCCTGAAATCCACAAACAACTCTCACAATCCACACGTCATTCAAATAACGGAGCTCGAATGGCATCGAATGGGCTCTACTCTGCTCTCTGCTTTTAGACCTGGTCAAAAGTTTTACGCAACTTGAATCTGATTTAATCGGGCATCTTCACTGAGCTGGATTACAGCAGTCTGATTGTTGAGTGATGCACTTTTTTAGAAGTTCAAAAAACCTTTCTCCCGGTGTCAATAATCACACGCTCACTTCCCGGTTATTATCTAACATATAGTTACAGCGCAGCAATAGTGCTTATTTACCACCGTGCTCACCGTGCTCTCTGAGAGATTATCATCATTAATATGGGCCATCTGCCTCCGTTCATCTCCACCAAAACCCAGACAGCTGGAGCAGGCTTTTTAATGAGCTTTAGTGATTAACAAAGGTCAAGTTTTCAGATCTTGTGTGTACAGCTGGAAACACTGTGTCCATGGGCCAATGCGAGCGCCAGCACATGCATGTTTGAATTGCAGAGAATGATGAAATGAAGAATGATGCGTGTGGAATGGAAAAGTTTTTTTTGAAAATAGTGAAAAATGTACGATCAAATTTGCATCTATCAACAGATCAGAATGAGATCAGAATGAGGTGGTCCTGAACTGTGAGTTTTTGGGTGTTGGTCTGAAGGTGGGAGGGTGTTGGTTCTACAAGTGAGTGTGAAGGTTGAGTCTTCTGAGTGTGTGCGGTAAGACTCTAGTCACCAGGCTGAGTGTGAAGGTCTTGTGGGAGTGTCCAGATGTTACTGTGAAAGACTTGATGCAGCTCACTCCTTGCTTTGACATTTTCTACATGCTCTTGCTTTTGGATGAATGCATGTTTAAAGAAATATGGGGCATACTGTTACTAACTACAAATTTGGTTTAGACCAAATAATTACATTATCAAGATTCTGCAAGACCTATTTTGCCTTTCTTATTCATGCACCTGTTCATGTTATAATCATGACAATCTTCCATATTGGTTTCTCATCTAAAGCCTGAGTGACTTTTACTCATCCTTTTAACAACCATTACAGCCGTCTTGCTATGAGACGCATTTACTTTACCATCACTGGAATGAATGCAGTTAGATTAACATGCAGACTGCAACAGGAACGGGTAACATACACAGAGAGATGAAAAGCACATCAATATCATGACAAAACAGTTTGGAATTTGATTCATGTCAAAGTTCACTTTTATTCTCTGCAGGAATGAAGATGTTAAAAAATGTGGTTCTGGATTCCCAGCTCGATGTATTAAGGTAATAGTCCCAATTTTTTAATTGTCTGCATTTAAATTGTCGGCAGCAACCTTCACTGATTTAACTTTTCAAACAGTATATTTTGAAATCCTGTAAAGAAGCAAGGCAAGCCCACAAACTCACAACGCCTGGCTTCAATGGGAAGAATTTCAATTTCAAGAAAAGCATTATCTGAAAACACTCCATGACAGTGGCAAAACGTGTTGTGCTGTAGTTGGTTGGGATTAAAGGAAGAAAAAACAAAAAGAGTCGATGTAAATGAGAATAATTGAGAGGGATCCACTTGGGGACAAAGGTTACCCAGCCGAAGGTGTGAGGACTTTGTTGTCGTGGACCACAACTCTCCTGAGATTAAACACTGCCTGATTACATATTGGTGTTTGATGAAAGGTCTGAACTTCATTTGCACCCAGGCATGGCGTACTGGTAACACTCATTGTCCACATGTCCACATGTCCATGGCAAATGAAGGAAGTCACTGCCTCAGATAAACCAACATCCTCTAATCTCTCGCTTTAATTTCCACACATTGCATATATAATGTTGATCAATCAATAAATAATAACTTTAAAGGAGAAACAAAGTTACTTTTCCATTATTTGTTAATATAGGATTGTGACCAATTTAAATAAATAAAAATGAATAACTAGCCAGAGTAGCCGAGTCATTCTTTGTTTTTTGAAAAATGAAAAGAAAATACCAGGCAACATTCATTCCACAACTCAAGTGAGGTAATCAGAGAAAAGAGGGACTGTGATCCTGTCATATCCGGTTCCACTCTAAGATCACAGCATGATTGAAGCTGAAGCTCTCCCTTTGATTTTACCGCAAGAATAATATTGCTGTGAGGCTCAGGGAATTGGTTGGCGCATTCCGACGCAGGTGCACGGCGTCGTCATGGCAATAAAAGGGATTTCCTGTTACCAAGCCCGACACATATCACCATCTGATGAGCTCTGCACAGCCACAGGTGATGCCCAAATCCTACATTCACGTGCACTGAAGACCACTCACGCATGGACAATCCTGGGTAGTTGCCACGGGGGAGAATACACTACCTCACCACTTCCCTCTACAGACCAAGGGTTGTTCATTAAATTATTTGTTAAGCTTTGTTTTAGTAATTCCTTGTGAAAAAAAGATATTTAATTAATTATTATTAATTATTTTTGCACTCAATGTATAATGCAGTTACCCTACATTACACACCGCTGTCTTAGTCCTCAATAAATAGTGAAAGTCATGATAAACCAAAATTCACAACATGTTTTTGAATATGAATTAATTGATCCAGAATTGTTTGTGTTTAGCTGTTTAACGCTTCTATTGCAGATTACAACAGTTCACGCAACTGTTTCTTTTATTATTATTTCAGAGCACAGTCAGAACAGACAGAAACCGGACTGGGAGGAAATATTCTCTGATTTGATGTTAAATCGAAATAACAATCATGTCTTTCAAAATGACGGACAACTAGAAACTTAAACGCAACCCCTGGTGGACGCACAGCGGGGTGATTTTATCAATTTGACTCACTCAGAGTTTCAGCAGTTTGGTAGAATTTTGCTTATTTTTGTCCTGGTTTAATTTATAGTATTGTAGATATTAGTTGACTTTTTAAATGACCAGTGACTGTGAATTTTTGTCTTTTGGAACCAGTAGTACAGGTGGAATCCTACCCCTTATTTGTTTGGACCATGTGGACATTACTTGCAACTTTAAACACAATGCACCATTGCATGGCAGGTTATTGGGTCTCTTTGTGACATTTCTAATAGTTGTAATCACTACTCACCAGAAAATCAAATTTCTCTTAAAACAGGAATTAATGCATTTCAATGAATCCAATGTTCATTTTGTGAATTTTTCAAGTTGAGTCAATTAAACTGAATAACTTGACTTCAGTAGCTTTCAGCTTTATGAAACAAAGTTTTCTAAAACCAAAATCTATTTGTATTTGTCAAGCAATGGCCTACTTTTCAGAGAAATGTTATTGCAGTCACCATAACATCGTAACAGGAAGTGAGTATACATCTATGTGACACGACCAGTAGTTGTCTCCGCTATGTCCGAGAACCAAATCGTAGCAGTAGCTTGGTAACAGTCCCTCAGAATTGATGGAATTTCCAGTATGTTGTGTTTGAATCCATATTATCCCATATCACAATAGGTAACCAGGCCGTACAATTACCGGTCCTGACTGTGAAACCCCAGATATTTTGCTGCTGCTCTCATTTTGTCATCCATTAACATTCAACACTGAAAGCCGTGTGTGACATGTGTCAGCATTGCTGAAGTCTGTTCGGAGGTCGGGGACGTGGTGTTTGTGCAGACTATCAAAATTGTTGACTTTGTGCCTGGATGTAGGTGTTAGCAACATGTCGGCAGAAATGCTGAAAACCAGACTGTGAATCCAAACACTCGTCTGCAACCTTTCACACAGGCGCAGAGATATTATGCAACCACACAAGAACAACTAATGACCTGGCAGAGGCCAGACCTGTGTTTGTGCCTGGCGTTCTCATTAAAGGCCTTCTGGCTTTGCCTGTGCTCTCACACCTTCATATGCAATTCCTCAGTAACCGATTTGTTACACAGTCACGCCCTCGGCTAAACACAGATCAATTCGAAGAGAGTTGGTTGTGATTTGGCTGAACTTCAATCAATCTCACACAATGAATAGCTTGCTGTGTTTTTGTTCTTTCACAAGTCAACTTCAAGCGGTTATAAGAGAGGATCACTACTAGTAATAAACCCACAGAGAATTATCAGACTCCACAATCCACAGCTTTACAAAGCATTTCTAGAATCTTTCAGCTGATTATTTCGCCGGCCCACAATACAGTTTGTCTTCACGCTTTCAACTTTCCTTCCAGACAATGCAGGCAGCCGTTTACAGCAAGAAAGCTCAGATAAACCTACAGAACTCTACAGACAGACCAAAACAACTGACACTTCACGGTGGAGCGTTAAGCAGCTTTAAATAAAGGTTTTATTTAACTTACATTCATCAGGTGGCAGTGTTGGGAGAAATTCCACTACTATTAGCGGTAACGAACAAAGTATTTTTTTAAATAAATTAACGCAGTTACAATTACTGAAATTGAAATGAGTTCATTACTCGCGTTACTCTCTTTTGTGACGCGAAGCGGAGGGCCGGCAAATAGTAAGTAAATAGCTGCCTGTCAGCACAAAATAGTTGTGGCCACCAGAGCTAAATAGATTGATTGCTCGCTATGTTGAAGATGAGATGCATCCTGTCAACTGTCGAGTCAGTTGCCTTCTGTTGTGGCTTTATGCTACATGTGTAATCACTGTTATAGTCGTACACTATGCGTGGGTTATCTAAATCGATACAAATGCACAGAGACGAGGATGCAGTACAAGTTAGGTAATTTACTGGCCCTCAAATCACGCACCTGTCAGGCATGAACAAACAATCACAGAACTCCGTCGTAGTCACAGTCAAACACAATCGAGCACCGAGTGCTCGATCCAATATACCACACCTTCAGGCAAATGCCTGAAACAGTTATTTTGTATTAAGTTAAGTATTAAAAAGGACTTTTGTACTATTGCTTGATTTGAAGGCCTGTTGCCCTGTTGATTACAATAAATCGGTCTAAAAAACATTTTTATTGTGTTTGACTGTTCAGTACTATTTATATTCATTACATTAAAAAGCAGACATTAAAGTAACTTAAAAGTTACTTTCCAGAGTAACT